TTATTTAATTATTAAAATATAATATTAATATAATCAATTTAATTTTTTTAAAAGATTGATATTATTTACATGTTTTAAGTGAGAAAAAAAAAGACAATCCATTGGTTCGAATAAGTAAACGATCCTAATTCAAGATTCATACTATTGAATCGGAACAACTATTCATATAATCTATTTAATTAACTTTTACTTATAGGTATGGTTGTATTTTTTTAATTGATTTTTTTAAGGAAAATGATATATACACACTCGATCATCACACCCTCCGTCACACACTCACTCGTCTTTGTTTCTCTCATTACTCATTACTCCTTTTCACCCAGCACAACTTTCCTCTTCACCCAGCCCTAGTTCTTTGATTTTCTTTCTCTCTCCTCCCCCTCTTCTTCCTTCTCTTCCTCACTCCGATCTGGGTTTTGCATTTGCATCTAGGTTCTTACAGAACCCGATTTGGGTTTGGCTTCTGATTCTTGTTGGAGTTTTTCCTCGATGAAGGAGTGCGGCGCAGACAAGGGGTCTGGTGCTGGAATTGGGAATTGATTTTTGCCTTAGGTAACCTTCTAAACAGAGGGGTTTTTGGAGAGGTAGCGAGGGAGAAGATCGGAGCTAATCTTGCAGCTGGGATCCCTCCCATCGATAGGTGTTTGGTTTGAAATGGCTGGCAATTGTCCTGCAAATGATTAGAATGAGAATGAGAATGGCAATGAGGAGTAATATGGATCTGGTGAGGATGGAGACTAACGAAGTGTAGGAGTTAACGAAAGTTAATAGAAAAAAGAGTATGTAACGACAGTGTGGTACGATGGAAGGTACGCCAATCATGGTCCTTTTTTAATAATAATTTTTAATAATGATGTTGAGTTATTATATCAATCACTATCTAATCATTAATTAGAAATATGTCTAACATCCCACCCTGCCACGGGCCACCCCATCCCAATCGGAGCTACCGAACTAACGTTCTCCGTTGAGACTGCAGAGTGTAGATTTGCCATCCAACGAATTTCCTTGCCAATGCCATCCATCTGCCTATATATCTCCACACCATTTCTTACAAATCACCCAATCATTATAAAAAGGAAAAAAATTACTCCTCTTCTCCCTTCTTCATCTTCTTCTTCTTCCTCGTTTTATGAGGAAGAAGAAATCTCATGTAATTAATTTTCCGCCTCTTGTAGTATTTTATTTGATTGAATTCACCTCCTCCTCCTCCTCCCCCTGAATTTGTTTTGGGGTTTGGCCTATTTTAGTTATTATGGGGACTGAAATTTTACGGCGACAGGATTGTTTGTTTGATCGGCTCCGGCTATCTCCGGCGGCATGTTCTCACCGGAGGCATGGTGGTTATAATTATAACGCCAGGTTTAATAGGAAGCCGGTCAGGTCGGAGCAGAGAAAGCGATCGGAGCCAACGATCTGTAAGAGGTCGAGTTCTGTGGATGATATGAAGACGGTTAGGAACAATTTGGTGGTGGAGAAGGTGATAACTGTGAGGCGGGGAGAGTCGTCGGGGTTGAGGATCAGGAATGGCAAGTCGTTAAAGAGGAAGGCCGATCGGTTGGTGCCGAATCTGGAGATTGTCCCGAGGGAGATCCGGATCGTGGATATAAGATTTCCGCAGAAAACCGATGTGTACGCCGGATCGGCCTTCGTGGTCTCTCCGGCGCCGAGTTCGCTTCCGTTGCCGTCCTTCTCAACAAAGAAACAGGCTCAGGTTTATAACTCGGCCACTCGTGATCTCAGGCGGTTGCTCCGGCTCGATCTGTGATATCTCTTTCTCCCCCGTCAACCACAATCCCGTAATTTTTTAGCAACGGGGTGGATCTGAAAACCAGAGAAAAGTACTGGACCAATTTTTAAAAAATATACTTGCAAGTATGGGGGTTGTTTGATGGGCTTCATAAAGGAGTAAGAAAAAGGAAGGGGTCAAAAATAGGAGAAAAAATGAAATGTGGACTTGATATGTAATATTAGTAAGTAGCATGGGGATGGAAATGAATTACTGTTTTGCTGTGAGTGTTTTTACTATCTGTTGTGGATTTAGAAAATATATGGATAAAATTTTAATATATTTATATATAAAGATAACTGTTTTTCTGTCTGACTTATAAAAAAATTAAATATAAAAATATTTTAAAATTATATTATTTTAATAAA